GCCCAGCGATCAGCTTTTAGTCTAGATGACATACAGCATCAGAAAAGCCGTGAGCCTTACAGCTCCTCGAAATATGCGTCTGATCTACTTAGTTTAGCCCTAAACCGTCACTACAACAACCAGGTAAGTTCACAGTTTCCTACAGAAAATGGTAATAACTGCATGAATTGTTTTATACCATAATTATTATGATTATCATAATTGTGAATTAGCCATGAATACTAGTCATCTGTTCACAGGGTTTGTACTCATCAGTGATCTGTCCTGGTCTGGTCATGACTAACCTCACCTATGGCATTCTACCATCATTCTTCTGGACTCCCATCATGCCTATAATGTGGCTTGTAGGTCCTCAATTTACTTTACTTTTCGTATATCAACACAATAGTAGGAAAGTCACACAAATCTAACATTGTGTTAATGTCCTGTCTGTCCTATCTCATCAGATAAGGATATTCACCAACACTTTTACCCTCTCACCTTACAATGGAGCAGAGGCTTTGGTAAGTACCACCACCACAAATGTTCATAGCATCATCAAGTTTAACCACAAATAATTATTACAATTTATTGAATCACTTCATAGAACGACTGAATTGTATGACGGTGAAACGGTAAATGTTTCATAGTACAAGGAATGGAAAAATGAAGTCAAGATGTGAAACCGCTTTGATTCTAATAGTTTTTGAAACTTATTATAGCATTTCCTTTGGAGAAATGACTTTGGAGTTGCCTGTGCCTCATTGCTTTCTCCTAGTCTCAGTTTTCATCTATTGTTTTTTATTACACAGTTTTGGCTGTTCATGCAGAAACCTGAGTCACTGGACCCGATGGCCAAATACCACAGTTTGACCTCTGGACTTGGAAACAATTACACTCAGCCACACAAGGTCAGAACTGACAATCAAGTTCCCTCACTCATCTATTTTTCATGCCTGTTTTAGTCCATTTTAAGCCTATTTTAAATCCAATTTTATATAGCACATTATAATCTGTAGGGTTTACAGTATATGCTTTGTGATTTGGATAGTTCTGCAAGGGAATCCATGGACTTTCATGTTTCTCAGCTGTTGAACTTGTTCATACTATTCATTGCTGATACTTTCCATAGTTGAACTGCTTTTCGTGTGTTTTCAGATGGATATTGATGAAAACATGTCCGAGGCCCTCTATGTGAAGTTATTAGAACTTGAGGATACAGTGCGGAAGAAACTGAGAGATGAGGATCTAGATATCAAAACAAAAAACTAAATATGGACACAAAACCTCATGCATTCTGTTGGCTTATAACACATTTCAGTCTTGAAATGTTATCTATGGAATGGATAAACACCTCATGAATATTGATTTTTCTTGAAGATCTTTAGAAACACTTTATATGAAATGATTATGATAATCTAGCATGGCTATGAACCACATCATGTTCTTCACTTAGCCTGTATTTACAAAAAGTACTTGTATGCAAAGGACCATTTTCACAAGACTGTGATGTATGTACATGTATAACACTACACTTTGTATTACATTACCTTTGCATCAAATTACAGAAAACTATTTAACGCTAATGTGACGGTGTTTCTAATACAGTGTCTATGGGAGTGACGGTAAATTTGACA